AACAATGCCTTACAACCCCGCAACAATACGTCACGAAAAATGCCTTACTACCTCGTAATACGTCATGAACGATGTTTTTTATTGATGGTGAAATCATAATTGTTGCCACGGTTTTGTTCTGTATATTTTTTTGAAAAAATATCTTTTGCATGGTATCCCGAATCTTCCATAGTACAAAACCAGTCAAATGTGTTTAAGACCAGACATCAATCTGGAACTGAAATTGTTCATCACCTACTAAAGTGTGAACTCCCATCTGTCCAATTTTAAATGTATGCGCATTATATTTCCTTTTTTGATTGATTGAAATGGGAAACCTCCTTGACGCTCGGATCATATGGATTGGTCACGTGACTTATTCACACCACGTGAGCCAATGGGTGATCTCGTATTTTCCCGCTGGCTAATTATCGTTGAAGCGAGGAAAACAGTGAAATCAATTAAAGGTGTTAGTGCACTAATTGAATCTATTTACGTTCAATATTTTCTCTCTTCTTCTCATCTTGTTGAATTACTGACGTTTCTTTTCGTTTGACATGACACGAGCATTCAAATTTATTCAATTTTTGTCCCTCGTCTCTCCACATTATATTGGTTACGTTTTTCTTATAATTAATAGTCATGAATTCTAAAGAATTTACTTCAAGTAAGGCATTACTTTGAAAGATCTTCTCTTTTGCTGCAGGAGTTTTTCAGCCCATCGCATAATGAGCTAATAGGTTATTGTTGGTAATGTGCAGCATATGATTATTATGAAAGCCTGATCAGTTTCTATATACAGGCACAACTCGGTGCTTTTATTACCTTACTTCATCTTATCGGCTGGCACATGACAATATTGCTGAACTATTCTACAGCCACTTACTAGTCATTTTAAATTTGATTTTCAGACGCAGAAATCTGGAATTAGTTCGGGTTTTTGTTAGGGATTTGGGTAATAATGAACTCATTGGGGGCTTTTTAAATACGTGGTGATAATTGATGATATCGATACCTCCCCATGGTTGCCGAATCTGACATTTTGCTGGCAGATCTGAGCAGATCGGTAATGATCTAAATGATATGTTGGCTGTCTTGATCACGGAGATCACACAGATTGATACGGTCTGAAACCAAAACCAAATATTCGACCACAGTGTAAATTTGGCTACATTCTTCTGATTGTGTATTGTATGCTCAATTCTTACCATAGGACAAACCAGCAGGAGAATAACGATATACACAAAACACGAAGCAAGGCAAAATCCATAGGGGTCTTATAACATATCAACCGCAAACGTGAAATGTCACTTATTTGAAATGAATCCAGTTATTACACGTTTTGTAAATATGTTTCGTTCTTTAAATTAATATACATCAATCCAGAAAGCCTTTATCAACTTGGACTTCTAACAAATCAATTTCATATTACCGAAATAAGGCTAATATCGCGGTTTAACAGCAATCTAACACCGTCGTCGTTTTTCAATTCAGTCATTCATCATTTTTGATAGGCTACACGACGATCCAATCTCATTACAACTTTGCTTGATCTTATTTAATTCCCTTGAGTTTTCACACCTTATTTCTACATCGACTGAGGATTTAACAATAAAACCATTAGCAATATCTAATTCAATTTACAAATGTCCAGATTGAGTGGAAAGGAGGCTAATTTTCTTACTCGACGTCCCGAATGGTTTTCATTTTCTTGACATTGATAGTTTAAATGGTGTGTTAATTTGATAAAAATCTACTCAGCCTTCTTACTCAGCTTTTTACGATTTTTCCTGTTTCAATAAGCCCGAATATTAATGACCTTCTAAGATTTGCGCCCGTCTACTGGGATGCGCATTTCAGACTGAGGCTTTTCTTGGTTCATTAAAATGTCAACACGTATAATGATTCAAAACGAAATTATAATAAATGTCTGGTATTTGTGTATTGAAAATTAAATATATTCATAGATGATTTCATGACAATTGAATGAATGAAAATCATTTAAAGTCACTTAGAGTCAAATCCTAAATTCAATGAAGTTTTAGCCTACCTTTATATTTTTAGTTACTCTTTAATGGTTTGCTTTTAAAGCAGGAGATAGTTTTCAGAAATCTGAGATCGAACGACCCACAACACTAAAATTTATTATCATCCGTTTTTTTCATCTTGTCTGATAATTGCAGTCGTCCCACTCGTACCTTGAAGTTGGCTACCTACTTCCCAGAAGACAGGCCTCATGAACCTTAGTGATATAACCCTTTTTTCTTTTCACATTTGTATATTTACGTATCATACAAATTTATTGTGTATGTTCCCTGATGTAAAAAGTGATGTGAATATCTAAATTGATCATAGGGCCTACGTTTGTTCTGATCTGAATCACACTGATGCTGGCCACTTACGTTTTTGTCCTTAATGAACTCTTGTGTTAAATTGCTACAGATAAAGTAAAGATTGTGGAATAAGGAATGGGTAGATATATAGATATTGGCTACCAATAAATAGTCACTAATAGTACCATAATGCAATGATAAGCTGACTGATTTGACCACAGGGTACCTATAGCTTCTCTTTGATGTCATGAACCGTTTAACTGTATAGTTAAATACATGTACACGTTCTGAGTTTAATGAATTATTACCTTTAAAACCTATTCATTATAATCATTTAATGGGACAATAATTCGTTAAATTCTCATTTGGATAAAGTGGAATCAAATCTTTAAAAGGACAGATGTGCCAATTTTTTTACAAATCGTACCCTAGTCTCCGAAAAGGGAATTCTTCAGGTAAGCCAATTAGTAATAGTGTTCACAGCACACCATCAAAATTTGAATATTCGCGTTTGAGACACTTCTATATATATATAGAAAGGATATCTGTAGAAATAGGAAAAGAAATTCCTAGTTTGAGATATTTTTGAAGGATTTATGCAATTTTCGTACATTTCTACTATTTCTCAAGACTATTTACATATATTCAAGACCCGAAAATGGCTCATTATCCATTTTAAGGTTCTAGTATAAAATGAATAATTTTTAAAAATTACATGTATTAATTATATAATGCTAGTCTCTCATTTATACAAAAATGTGCCATGCAAAATATCGTGTTCCACCAGCTATCAGATTCTGCTTAATAGTACGGCAGATTTCTTGAATTTTCAAACTTATGAATACTCCAAAACAATAGAAATTTTTTAAATTTATCATTTTAAATAATATGTATCAAATTTTCAAATTGATATTAACTCTGTAATAGTGTAATTTGATTCACAGAAAATTTTGCATACTTGACGTATTCATGTAACTTTGTTTTCTAGCCACAGAAACAGTCACAAGTGCCATATAATTACAGTTGTTAGCTCTACAATACAGTCTGTAAGCCAATTGAACACAATAACTTCGAATGATATTTTTTTTGCACAATATCTTGAAAAGATGATTCAATTTTTGTCAGAATATCATAGAACATTCGCTGTCACTATGTTTACGAAGTAATTATTATAAGTTAATTAAAGTGAACTAATTATCTCGCGGTTTGTTTATTCTGTAAAATTAATAATATCATTAATATGACTGATTTCCCACCTTACAGCGACAGTATGACAAATAAATATAATTTATATTTTACACGATTTATTCTCAGTAATTATCAACCATGTAATCTAAATGTTAATTACTTAATCAAAGTCTTACCGACCTTCATTTTATTTTTCATCAGCCGCTTGCAAACCAATCCACCAAATGGTACATTATTCTGGGGTCAATGATAGTTTGGTAGCCAGAATAAAGGAAACTCTAAAACTTGATTGTAATATATACAAGACATTTCTAAAATAACAGCGTATAGCTTAAACCAATGGCACTGCCTTTTTTAGTTTCTTTGACAGAAAATATAAATAAAAATGTATAAAAAAAATCCACAAATAAAATTACACAAGTTATGTACAGCAGACAAATTGAAATTTGCTTGGCATATGAAACTACTTCTGTTTTGTTATTGTTTGTTTGTTCTCCAATCATCTGATTCCAACAGAACGCCAGTATTCTCGATTAATTTCACAATTCGTGTTGAAAACGGAAGCACTTGGAGAAAAATTTGAATTACAATTTTATTTGATATTTAAACATAATGTAGAATATTGACTGTCATTGTAGAAAGAAATGACATGGAAAATTTCTCAAGTCACTCGGAAAATCTGTTAATGATGTTTGCCTCTCGCCAGCCTGCAATTTTCATTTAGTCGGTCGTTTCGGACCTTCTTTAATTTCTTTAAAATTCATTAAACAAATTATTGGGCTATTTCAATCCCTTGATCTGTCATTTAAAGTTGTTCAAAATATTTCATCAATTTAATTATTAGATGAAATTCATCCTTGTCGATTAGCCGCGTGTTCGCGCCTTGAGGCGTGAATCTGTTTTAATAAGCCACGCCTACTCAATTTCTATTGGTCGACAGTAACATTATCCCTGCCCAGGGCAATGAAATCTCTCCGCGAACATCTCAACAAGGTTGTCAAGAATGGAGGTGCATTATCCTACAAAATACGTCAGTTATTACGGTGTTTAGGACCAATTAGTTATTCTAGCTTTACAAGAAACTGTTTGTGTGATTTTATCCGTTGTATGTCAGTCCTTGACGAATTTGAAGAGGTCTTATTATTCTCAGTAAAAGACTAACAAGATAGAGCCGTCTCTGAGTCTGAGGGTGATGGTTGCCGATGTCAACAAGTGTACAACCCAATACACCATTTCCACTATTTTAATTGGATTATCATTTTACAGGATTGGATGAAAATCGAAAAAAATCTGATGCGGACTTCACAGTGAGCACAACCAGTGTATGATATTCTTAAGGAAATAGTACGAAAGTTTCTTCAGATTTTTATTTAAACGATTGTAAGCAAATAATGCTGTAATGTTGTTGAACAACTTTTAATATTGTTGTTTCATCAGGAGATGTCAAGTTGTTTATCAGATTGTTCCGAAGATTCCCAACAACCATACGATTCCATCCATCGCCTCGCCATGATTCAAGTTCAACCACCCCGAAATCCAAACAAACCTTTCACATCGTTTAGCATCAAAGACATCTTATCCACGCCGTCATCCAAGGAAGTGTCACGGACGCCTTCTCCCAGGGAGAGATTGTCACCCCGGGAAAATAGACTCTCTACCCCAGCTTCCCGACATATTGCTACCCGACCCTATCATCGTGGTCGGGTACAGGTAGTGGTCAATAATACTAGGATTGTGCGACCCTGGGACTCGGCTGTGACAGAGACTGAAAGTTCTTCTGATGAAGAAATTAATGTAGATGATGATGATGAAGAAGATGATGTTCCTAGTCCATGTTTAAAATCACAGTCACCATTAGATGCTTTAATGGCCATGACAAATAAAACATTTCAAGGTCTCGACACACACGGACATTCAGGTAGGTCAGATTCATTCTTCTGATCCAGATGAGCGTTTTTCAAAGCTAAAAAAGCAACAGCGATCAGTTTTCCTCCAGTGCATGAACTTCACATCCCCGCCGAGCTGTTCAAGTAGTATGTCCCTTCCGAACAAGAATTTGAGACTATTAAAAAATTATCAATTTCATATCGGAACTTTCAACTAAATTTTAAATATACTTATCAGAATATAATACGCCACTATTGAAAGAAATGTCCAGGTGGAAATGAAAAGAAAATAATCAGTGAATATCAATCTGCGTTGAAAAAGGTCTCATGCACTTTCGTTTCCTTTTCCATCATATCAAAATTTTGAAAAATAAGAGAGATCTTCAGAGTAGGCTACGAAGTTTTTAAACATTTTTTCATAAAATTCAAATGCATATGACAATGTATATTGAAGTAATTTTTAATATAAAACTATTGATATAATTCTCCGGCTAAACACATTTTTTCACAATGAATATGCAATAGTACAAATATTAAAGAAATGAAAATATAGATAGTTATGTATTGAGTCAATTGATAAATATCTTAATTACAGTTAATTGATTACATTATTAATTAGTCATATGGTCTATATTTAGTTTTTCAATTACGTCATGTTGGAATTCTCCATTGACATGTAAATCTCCATTTATTTCACTTTGTACGTGACGTCACACATTATTTTTCCTTTCCTCTTTAAATGAATTTTTTTTTGTTAAAAAAAAAAGATTAAAAAAGAAATTTCCTGGTCTAAACTTGACGCGTTTTGAGTGATGTATCCTAACAGAATACAATGGAAGTCATAAATAAAATATTTCCTTTCCCAGTTTCCGGTTCAGTTTCATGACATTTTGGTTATGATTTTTATAGACATAATATGTTTATTTATAAGATTATAAATTCTATATTAAAATGAAAATATTTAAGCGAATAACAACTATTTTTATGGATTATATGAAAAAATGTCAAACCACACAATAAAGTTTTGTTTGGTCGTTTGAAACTTTAATACCTTGTAGGTATTGTTTTTATTCGAACACTAGAATTACTTAATTTGCAATTTTTAAAAAAAAAGTATATATGGAAAAAAATAATTTGAATTGAAAAATGTTCCGAATATGGGATATTCTTAATATAATTCTTAGTGTTATTTTAAAAAATAGTTAAGTAATTTCATTTCCCCATAGTAATTTCGCTCAACATTTAAAAATTAACGGGCTTGGCACTGAAAAAATACTTATACGAAAATCTTAATACTACATCTAATTTTGCTTCCTCCTGTCTTCCAACAGATACATTGGAAAAATTCCATTCAATTCTTTCACATAAATAAATAAATGTTAGAAAAACTTTCCTGGCAATAATTCTGTCAGATTTATTTAATTGTCTAAAGCCAGCTTGTTATTGTCAAACATAGTGTTTCAAATCAGGAAATACGGATCAATTATACCCAAAACACCTTTCTTATTTCATGTCAACTTGACTACCCTATTGAGGTGTGATATGGTTATGTTAGAAGGGGGTACGTTACCCCTACTGGGTTATAATTAATAAAGATTACCTTCATTATATACATTATTCCATGACATCCTCATTGTAAGAAATAACGATATTTCAAATATGGCATTGTAAATATATCCTTGTAAATATCATCATATTGTAAATATATCCTTGTAAATATCACTTCGTTTATATAGTCCTGTACATAATTCGTAAGAAGACTATTGTAAATATCATATCGTAATACGGCCTTGTAGACGTCATATTGTAAATATGATACAGCAAAATGTGGAATGTAACACAATTGCAACGGAAAATGATGCATGGTTAACCAGGCTTTCATTTTCAACATTTTAAACTTAATGCAATGTCGAAGGTAGGATATGGTAACATAGGATGTGGTTCGATAAAATGGATATGATAGAAATAGAAGCGATAGGACCAAATAGGATAGAGTAGGTTATAATTTTTTGTGTTCAATTCTCAGACTAGAGAAGTTAAATATAACACTTTAATGCTCATACATAAAACTATATAATATTATAAAATTACATTCAAATACGCGTGTTGGGGAAAAGCCCATGATTTAAAAAAAGAAATCGGTTAATTGCAGTGATGTTTGAAGTTTGATAAATTTTTGACGCTTAAAAGTTTTTGACCACAAAGTATATAAGTTTAAAAAAGAAGCGATAATTTAGAAAATATTGGTGGTCGCAAGCTTTGAACTGTCAATATAATGGCTATAAAATATCGCTCAAAATATCCTTATTAACATAATTACAGTGAAAAATGATGAATGACAGAGCTCTGGACGAAGTTTAATCAAAGCTTAGATAGAGATCGATATATATCCTATTTATAATCAATATAACACCTGTCATTACAGCACGTGCCGATCAATCAATTATTCAAATATGATATATCGGATATTCTTCAATATATGACGTCATCTTTGATCATACTAGTAATGTTGATGATGTTGTCAATCTTCTGCTTCAGTTCAAAACATTTAAAAATTCACTGATTTTTCTATCAAATAGATTCAAACACACTTCTCTTCGATTGATGTCCACGAGAACAATAGATATAAATTCTGATTTTCAATAATAACAAAGAATCGATATGTCATATTTTGTTTGCTTCAATGTGATATTTGAATATTTTGTCCCTGTAAAATAATTTCAGTGATATTTTGTTTTAAACGCTCCTTACTAAAGATTGCAAAAACATTTTTGATAATGCATGTCCGTTTAAAAGGGGTTTAGGTTGCAAAATTTAGGTCGTTACGAAAGAGCGACATACTGAAATGATTTTCACTAATATTATTATAAGCTAGAGTCTCAAATTTCATAGTAGGTAGTGAAAAGAAAAATTATGAGATTCAGATTGACTTTGTTCTTTTTCTTTTATTTGAGAAGAACCCTGCTTGATAGAAAAAAAAATCGGCATTGAATTGCACTCTCGAACTAAAATCGCAGGCGATTGTTTCTATTGTTTCTATTGGCTGCAAATCTATCGACAAGAATTTTATTCACATTTCTCAATGTAAACCAGATCTTTTCGACAAAGATGTTTAGATTTGAAATATATATAGCCTAAATTACAGAGTAATGTTACAAAATTAGCTAGCAAAACAATTTATTAGATGCTTAAAGAAATGTAGAAATTCGCCATGAATGTTGACTGCACATTTTGTTCTCGGAAAGATATAGCTTAGAAGAAGAACAATGGCAAGTACATTGGGTGTTTTCGAGTTCAGATAGGAAGAAGGTGGACCGAGCATTCAAGGCATCGTGTATTATTACGGCATCAAATAACCGCCTACTGATATGCATGCCTTCAGCTCGGTGATCTGGTGGAAACTTATCCTATATTTTTAATAAACGAACATCTTAATTAAGAGACATAAAATATTACATTTATTACATAATATTGGGGTGTTTTGGATTAATTTTTAATTATTTTGATTGATATATTAATTATGACGGAAATGTTTTTCATATTTATCAGTAAATTCCTTTGATATATATCATTGATACAGTGGGATAGATCCATCATCTCAATCTGCAGTCTTAATATGACAGTATAATTAGGAACATGCTCGCTTAATTATATTTCAAATAGCCGAAATTACCCAAATATTTAGCCCAATCACTGCAAATAGATGAATGATCATCAGCGATCGGTTATCCATAACTGTAACATGATTTGTCATGGAATAAGGCCAATAAAATCATGCAGAAAGGCAATAATTCATGATTGGTTATCAAGTTAGTCACTTCCCCTATCAATCTGCAGATTTGCACTCAATGCTTTGAAAAGATTTTCTTGCTTTTATATTTTAAACCATGTGTGAATAAATGAACATTGAGTGGATTTAGTTCTAGCATTAAATACACATTCTGTTCTCAGACCATCTTGAGGTAACCTTATTTAAATGCCCCAAATTCCCTCACTCATATCGCACCAAATCTTAATAAAAACGGTCAATATATGGCCTGAGATTGTGGTCAAAGGAGATTTTTAAAGTTCAATTCCTTCATGAAGAAATAGTTGAAATTCCAGATTTAAAGGTATCAAAGAAAAGGAGAATGTTCGCAGCCCTTTAGTTAGACAATAAAATAATTAAGTAATTTAACGCCAATTTAAGATGGTAGAAAATCTAAAATCAAGATCACCATCACCCATCAATCAACTAAGTTGCCAAATTTTAATTAACAAATTAACACTAAATACCACCATGACAGTCATTACGTCACTTCCGATTTGGCATTTTCGTCATGATTGCTGAATGATTTGGTAATCATTAGACAAAAATTATAGAATTTAATATTTGATTTTTGAATTGAGACAGAACTGACCATCAGCGGAATATGTTTTTTTCCTCGGTATTTTATGTAAAAACTATAATATATCTCAAAATGAGATCATAATATGATGCAAGTTAGTATCACATTCGAAATATCCACAGTTTTTTTTACCATCCATTCGTTCTATATGTCTGAAATAAGCTAGTGAACAAAGTTATTCATATTAAATCGTCAACTCTATGGTGCAGCTAGGCATGACCTTCCAGTATCAATCAGGGCAATTTCTTTTGGATAGTGACGATAACGAATTCCTCTAAAATATTTTTAGGTAAAACACATAAAGTCATTGTCAAAATAGCGTGTATCTAATGTGCTTTTAGCCGAGATAAATAATAGTGTATTTTGTATAAAAATGCATTGTGGTGTTTTCTCTCCTGTGAGCCATAACTAATCTATTTGCACTGATGAAAACTCATTTTGGAACACAACTAACATACAGAAATTCTATTATTGAAATAATTTACGACGTCGTTCGTTTAGAATTGAAACAGTCAGTTAAAACATTAGATAATATTTAACGACTTTTCAATATAGAAAGTAAAGAGTTTGGAGAGAGAGGAAAATTGGGTTTGTACTGAGTGACAATGAGCTATGTATCAAAAATCCAGCTGTAGAAATACTGT